GTGAAACGGTTGGAGTTCTGTTATCACTAGAATATCACACTCCTCTCAGCCAATCAGATGGAGGACCAGAAAGAACTGTTGCGCACACACACACACACACACACACACACACACATATATATATTTATTCATTTATTTATTTATACAACAGTTCGTACACACATGTTGACTCACATACATATCCATCTCCAGTATGTGTGTGTTGTGTTAATGTTTCCCACTTCAGCAACAGAAAGCATTATTGAGTACATAATTAAAAATGGTTTTAACACAAGGTTAAGTTATATTCTGGCAAAACACTGCAATATTACTAGGGCTGACCCCGAATAGTCGACGATTCGATGCTTCGATAGGAGGAGCCTTATTCGACTACCAATCTCACAGTCGAATATTCGCGGGGTGTTATGATCCTGCCATTTCGGCTATATGGGGGTGTTCAAATTTCTGATTTCACCGTTGTTTCTTGTTTAATTACACACATGTTCCGTCGAACTCTTGTATAAATATATATATATAAATGCAAAAAAAATATATATTTGCATTTGATTTGTTTGAATGCCAAAGGAGAGTCCCTCATTATGGTGTTTATGTGTGTGTTGGTGTTGATTATGATTAGACACACATTCCTGCTTGAGGTCTTCAGGCCTGTATCTCTGAGGGTGGGCCCTGGGCCGGTCGTACACCAGAATGAAAACTCTTTCACCAGAGCTCTGCACAATGAGAAATGCCTCACCATGGTGCTAAGGGCACATTGATTGCTGTAGCCTTACTAACCATGCTTTACCTCAGTCTCTAGGACACTAGTTTGCCCCCCCAAAAAAACTAACAGCTTTAAGACTAGAATACCCATGAGCCCACATAACAGCGTCATCTGATATTGTGTGGTTTCTTTGTGTAGTAATTGCATTGACTTTCCCATGGGGAATTTTCTGTTTATTTACAAGAAACACAGTACATGCTTTAGAGTGGGCAAAAAAACCCCTCTGGTGAACGTCCAGACATCTTGTTGATCAAAGGTAGGGCCTGTCTTTTCTGGACAATCGGCAAACACAACGGAGTGATAACACATTGCTAATATTCTGACGTCTTTTACCTTAAAAGACCTCGCAAACCTATTAAATGTCTTTGGAAAATACTGAATAAATAGTATAAGCTACTTTTAAGATGCTCTGTTGACATGCTAATCTTTTTCTGTTGATAGATTTCAGCTTTTTGGTTCTGCTTTTTTGATTTAGACCCACATGAGGGTGAGTAAATGATGACGATATACATTTCTGGGTGAATTGGCCGTTTAATAGTTTGACATTTAAAGAACAAGCCTCGTTACTGTCCTCTAGTGGACAAATGAAGTATATACTTCATAGTGTGTGTTATTTATTTATTATTCCCAGTTAAGGAAACCACTTTAAATTAACATCTATTGTGATCTGCATTTTTAATGTTGATTATTTTTAACGTGTCAACTCGCTTCCTCTCTTTATTTCCCATATTTAGCCACCCATTTCCTGTTGCTTAAGACGTTGGTGTAGAAAAAAATACCCATTTGTTTATGTTTCCTATTCTGTTTCATTTATAAAGGGTCACAAAACCAGGACAACAGTATCATTGTGTCAGATCTGTATAATAGTACAAAAATGTACCATGGTAAATCATATTTTCTGCCAAAATACTACAGTTAATGTTTCTCAAGTTTAGATTTCCCGTTCACAAATTCTGAAAGCTGTTTAAATGATCCAATATGAATGTATTTTGATATTACAGTAGTAACTCTGGCTGTGGTTACTGTGGTATTTTGGCGGGAAATGGCTCTAAGATCAAAGTCAGGCGATTAATCTCAGTGCTGCTGCTCAGTATGACGATGTTATAATAATGTGTTAGCGCTCGAGCACTGTGTGCTTTTATTCCGTGACGTCGGTGTGTAAATGAGGTCTGAAGGACTCCTCAGATCTCAGGCGAGGTGTCCTGAGAAGCGTCTCTGTGGGCGTCACACATATAGTGTGTGTGTAGGTGTGTGAACTGTACTTTCCGCAGGTCTGGCCTGCAGCTCCTCTAGTGGGTGTCAGCCTGGTTTTTTGTGCTGTAAGATGATGAGTTTTTGTTCGAGTGACTTCGTGATGGAAGATTCACAGCCCACTTTGACACCTCTGCTGCGTGATATTAAACTCAGACCAAGATGTGTGTGTGTGTGTGTGTGTGTGTCTCTAAACTGAGGTCTTACTTTAAATATCACTTTAAATATCTCCATCCTGATGCATTAGAGATATATTCAGTTTGGCCAATATCAAATATCAGTTAAAGTCAATATCAGTTTTAAAATAAAATATACATTTATTTACTTTATTTTACTGTATTATTACTATTTTCATTCTTATTTTATTCTATTTTTTTTTTATACAGCACTTTGGTACACTGTGTTTTTTTTAAGTGCTTTATAAATAAATTTTATTTGATGAAATCTACACTCTAAAAAATGCTGGGTTGTTTCAACCCAACATTGTATAAAATATGAACAACCCCAGCT